CTTTCAGACCACGTGTTTTCTCTGAGCTGCAGACGCAAGAGAGCTGGAGTGAGGGAGATGGCAGCTTTTGTGGCCACTGAATGTTTGGGGGCCGGCCTCTCTCTTCACGCATCAGCCCACTGAGCCCTGGTGACAGCGCAGGAAGTAGCAACTGATAGCGTAACGAAGTCATGTGAGGGCTCAAAGTCACTCGGTGAGGGGGCAGATGGGGCTGGGACAAGAACAGGGCCGGGGCACTGGGGACCTGACTCATAACTACTGTGCACTCTTGGACTTGGGGGAAGGGAATGGTGAAGGGGGCTGGGAATTCCCTTCTTGGTCCTTCCCCAGCATGGCCGTCCCCTGGGCCCCTGACTCATGGTCTCCTGCCTCTCTCTCTCTCTCCCCTCTGCTCCCAGGAACCAGAAGATGTGCTCCAGAATCCCCCTGCGCCTGCTGCTGCCGCTGCTGCTGCTGCTGCTGGCCCCAGAGCCCGGGGTGCGGGGCTGCCCATCCGGCTGCCAGTGCAACCAGCCACAGACGGTCTTCTGCACCGCCCGGCAGGGAACCACTGTGCCCCGCGACGTGCCACCCGACACAGCGGGCCTGTACGTCTTCGAGAACGGCATCACCACGCTCGACGCAGGCAGCTTTGCCAGCCTGCCGGGGCTACAGCTCCTGGACCTGTCGCAGAACCAAATCGCCAGCCTGCCCAGCGGGGTCTTTCAGCCGCTCGCCAACCTCAGCAACCTGGACCTGACGGCCAACAGGCTTCGCGAGATCACCAACGAGACCTTCCGTGGTCTGCGGCGCCTGGAGCGCCTCTACCTGGGCAAGAACCGCATCCGCCACATCCAGCCCGGGGCCTTTGACACGCTCGATGGCCTCCTGGAGCTCAAGCTGCAGGACAACGACCTGCGGACCCTGCCCCCGTTGCACCTGCCGCGCCTGCTGCTGCTTGACCTCAGTCACAACAGCCTCCCGGCGCTGGAGCCTGGCACCCTGGACACAGCCAATGTGGAGGCGCTGCGGCTGGCCGGCCTGGGGCTGCGGCGGCTGGACGAGGGGCTCTTCAGCCGCTTGCGCAACCTCCACGACCTGGACGTGTCTGACAACCAGCTGGAGCGCGTGCCACCCGCCATCCGGGGCCTGCGGGGCCTGACACGCCTGCGGCTGGCGGGCAACACCCGCATCGCTCAGCTGCGGCCCGAGGGCCTGGCCGGCCTGGTGGCCTTGCAGGAGCTGGACCTCAGCAACCTGAGCCTGCAGGCCCTCCCGCACGAGCTGTCGGGCCTCTTCCCCCGCCTGCGGCTCCTGGCGGCCGCCCGCAACCCCTTTAACTGCATCTGCCCCCTGAGCTGGTTTGGGCCTTGGCTACGGGACAGCCACGTGGCACTAGCCAGTCCAGAGGAGACACGCTGCCACTTCCCTCCCAAGAATGCCGGCCGACTGCTCCTAGACCTCGAGTATGCAGACTTTGGCTGCCCAGCCACCACCACCACAGCTACGGCACCCACCACAAAGCCCGCGGTGTGGGGGCCCACGTTCTCCCCTTCCAGTCCGGCCCCCACCTGGCTCAACCCCACGGAGCTGGTCACCGAGGCCCCCAGCCTGCCCCCTGCAGACCCGCCCACGGTGCGGCCTCCACCCCGGCCCCAGGACTGCCCAGCCTCCGTTTGTCTCAACGGCGGCACCTGCCACCTGGGGGTGCAGGGGCACCTGGAGTGCCTGTGCCCTGAGCTCTTCGTGGGCCTGTACTGCGAGAGCCGCGCGCGGCAGGGGCCCCCGGCCAGCCCGGCCCCGGCCACGCTGCAGCCACCGCAGCCCCCGGCCCTGGGCATCGAGCCGGCCAGCCCCACCTCCCTGCGCGTGGGGCTGCGGCGCTACCTGCAGGGCGGCGCCCTGCAGCTCAGAAGCCTCCGCCTCACCTACCGCAACCTGTCAGGCCCCGACAAGCGACCCGTGACGCTGCGCCTGCCCGCTTCCCTTGCCGAGTACACGGTCACCCAGCTGCGGCCAAACGCCACCTACTCCATCTGCGTCAGGCCTCTGGGCGTTGGGCGAATGCCCGAGGGCGAAGAGGCCTGTGGGGAGGCCCGCACACCCCCCGCCAGCCGCTCCAACCACGCGCCTGTCACCCAGGCCCGAGAGGGCAACCTGCCGCTCCTCATCGCTCCTGCCCTGGCGGCCGTGCTCCTGGCCGCGCTGGCGGCCGTGGGGGCGGCCTACTGCGTGCGGCGGGGGCGGGCGGCGGCGGCGGCTGCGCACGGCAAAGCACAGCTGGGGCCCGGCGCTGGGCCCCTGGAGCTGGAGGGCGTGAAGGCCCCCTTGGAGCCGGGCCCTAAAGCGACTGAGGTCGGTGGGGAGGCCCCACCCAGCGGGCCCGAGTGTGAGGTACCACTCATGGGCTACGCAGGGCCCAGCCCCCAGGGGCCCCTCTCCGCCAAGCCCTACATCTAAGCCTGGGAGCAACGAAGCTGCGAGGCCGGGCTCAAAGCCCCGCTGGGACCCGCCGGCGCCCTCCTGCGGCCAGACCGAGGAAGTTCTCAGATCCCTACCGGGGGGACACAGCTTGGTGGGCACTGTGTGACCACAGCAAGACCCCGCCCCTCCGTCTCCTCATCCATGAGATCCTGGGACCCAGGATTACCTGGGTCCACCTCGAAGGTGCCCCCCAGCCTGCGTGCCTACGAGGAGGGCGTCTGCCCTGTCCTCTGCAACGACAACCCCTGGGGAAAGGTGGGGCGTGCCCTGCCGTGTGCTGGTAACACAGGCCCAGGGCTGCCAGGGCCCCCCTCCCAGGGAGACTCTGGGGGCCAGTGAAGGAAGCCCCCAGAAAGACAGCAGAGGGAGAGTGGGGCTGGGGATGGGGCGTAGGGTCAGCCTCAGCCCCAAGGAGCAAAGGAACAAAAGAAACTGGAAGGACAGACACTTTAGGAACATGTTTTGCTTTGGTTTTTAAAAATATATTTATAAGAGATTCTTTCCCATTTATTCTGGGAAAATGTTTTTCAAACTCAGAGACAAAGACTTTGGTTTTTGTAAGACAAACAATGATATGAAGGCCTTTTGTACGAAAAATAAAAGATAAAGTGAGTCTGTTTCTCTGGCGTAGCCCAGGGTACCTGGGCTGGGTGGAGGGAGGGTGGGCATAAAGGGATAACTCTCTCTGGGGGAAGCTGGGGGCCAGGAACCCTCTCCCCAGTGGGCACCAGGCCCTGATCAGCAACCCCTGGGCTTAGGAGGGCTTCCCAACCATGCCAGGAAGGGTGGCCCTTCCAGGTACCCTGTGCTGGGCTATCTCTGCCCAGCCTCAACCAGAGCGCCTGGTGCAGCCTCTCAGCTGAGACTGGGATGCAGGCAGGAGCAGAGCTGGGAGCTGAGCAGCTTCTAACCTCAGAGAAGAGGGACACGGGGGCAGCCTCACCCCACCCAGGCCCAGTGGTCTGCCAGGAGGAACTGTAGTGCTCCTGGGAAACTGGGGAAGGCTCATGGCAGATAAAGGCCAAGAGGGTCCCCAAGGAGCCCTCCTTGGGGAAGGGCCTGATAGGCATTTCACTGCCTACCTTCATCTGTGAAGGGTATACCTAGAACTGTGTCCTGCAGGCCCCCACAGATGGTGGTGAGCCAGGCAGAGCACACAGCCCAGCCCTCCCTGCAGTTCTGACAACCTTCTGCGTGGGCTCAGGCTAGGAAACCATGCTCCCCGCCTCTTGCTCCAGCAGCAAAGAGGGGTCTTAGTGGAGGGGTAGCACAGATTCTGAATGACAGGAACCGTCTGGTGATTGGAGAGGAAGGGCCAAGCCAGGGCTGTGATGGCACTTGGGATGTGCCAGGCTTTCCAGAAACCCCGGAAGTGGGAGTGTTTTCCAGGAAGGCCATAGACTGTGCGCGGGCAGGGCCAGGGATGCAGGACTGCAGCTCTGGCCTGGACTGGGTGCTGGGAGCTGGGAAACAAGAGCGCTAGCACAGCACCTTCTCCCATGACCCTGAGACGGGAGGCAAAGGGGGCCCTGAGGCCACAGAGAGGCGTGGCGAGCACTAAGCAAGCCTCCCCGAGGCCCCATCCTGGGTCCCCTCTGTGGGTCACGGCCCCTGGGCCCCATCAGCCTCGCCCTGCATGGAAAGCGGCTGCTCAGCCAGGCCTGGGGAGCAGGCCCTGTGGCTCAGGGCATTGATGTCAGCGCCGAGTCAGGCCCAGCCACGCGAGGCTCTGGATTCAATTAGCGGCTGCTGAGGGTTCTGGCACGGGAAGGGAGGAGGTAGGCGGTGGGTCGTGGCGGGCAGAGGATGGTGGTAGTGAGCCTGGGTGGGGCCCCTTCTTCCTGAGGCAGCGGTGGGCCAGGTGGATTTCCTGTGAGCCTGGGTCCCATTAGGGGAGCGGCTATGGCAAGGCCTGCCCTCCCCCTCAGCAGCCCTGTCAAAGGGGCCATTGTGGGCCTGTGGGCTGCTGCTGAACACAGCATTAGCTGTTGCATAAATGTTTTCATTGCAAAGCCAAACCTGACCTAGTGAGATGGTAGGGGGTGGGGTGGGCAGGCGGGACCCAAAGATGGGCTGAATGCTCACTCCAGCCCTCCCAGAAAGGGTATCTGGGGTGTCACATCAGATCAGGGGCTGGGGGAGTAGAGGGAGGCCCAGGGGCAGAGTGGAGACCAAGCCAAGATGCAACCCTTACTCAGGGCAATCCCAGTGGCCCCAGGCCAGGGTCCAGGGACAGATGTAGGGAGATGCCAGTGGGATTGTTGGGTCCTTGCTGCTGCAGGCCCTGTGCCACATGGACTCCCATTAACGCCCAGCAAATGCCCTACAGAGAGAAGCACCGGCTGGGAGAGGTGAGCCAGCAGCTTGCTCAGGGCAGGCGGGGATAGGATCCTGACAAAGGCACCCTGGCCCAGTCCTGGGGCTGCCAGCCATGCTGGCCTCCAGGAGATGGGTGGGGCCGCCATGAAGAGCAGAAGCTCTCTGGTGTGAAGCCCCAGAGACTGAACCCCAGCCTCCACCCTGCGTGGACTGGCTGCTGCGGTGACCTCAACAGATAATGAACTTCTCTGGCCTCAGACGCGTCTTGTGGATGGCGAGGAGATATGTCCCCCTCTGCCTGGCGCCCGTGATGGGTCCAGCTGACCTTTCACCCACCCAGAAGCATCGCCCCGAGACAGTGTTTCCGCACCTCCCAGTCTACAACGGGAGCTGCTCCTTCAGTGCCAGGCCCGCCCTGCCACTTACCCTCCCACCTCCACCCTGCCCGGAGCTTGGCTTCACGGACAGGCCCCCGATGCCTTGCTCTTCCAACCATGGCATGTCTCCTCTGAGTGAGCCTTGCTCCACGGACCATGGGGATGAGCAGGGAGGAGGACACAGGTGGGAGCCATAACAGAAGCCTCTGGGAGGGTCGGCCCTGGGCGCTCCCTGGGAGACGACAGGGAGAGGTGTGTGCCTGATCCCCGGCCCCCTCTAGCTTTTAAAAGAACACTCCCTGTTCTGCTCAAATTGAGAGGGAAAATCTGTAAAACAGAGAAGAAATTGAAGAGGTACAGTGGAACTCCATGGCTGTCTCCGCATCTGACACCCGGCATGCTTCCCATCTACAGTCCAGATCACTGAGCAGAGCTGACACCCAGGGGAGCCCGAGGGGTTCCGCCACCACACGGGGCTGGAGAGTCCCCACTCGCCTGCCAAGGGTGTGGCCTGGCAGGGCAGGGGCCAGGCCTGGGGGATGGAGGGGGCGGGACACAGTCTGGCCACCCATCTGGGAGTGATTTGAGAAATTCCAGGCCCTGCTGGCCCTGCGAAGCTATTCTTAACTGCTGTAATTACAGGGTCAGCCTTGGCCAGTGGCACCGTGGGGTCTGGGCATCGTTAACTCCTCCAGGGGCCATGCTGGGGATGGGGGGGGCTGCTCTGCGGGGGAGGGGGACCCATCAGGGGCCAGGGGTGGAGCCTGGAAGGCAGGAAGTGGTGGGAGGAGGAGCACTTGATGGCTCACCCTGGTCCCATTCTCCAGGCTGGGCCAGCTCCCTCCTTTTGCGGGGGAGCCGGGTAGGAAAGAGATGGCCTGGCCTGGGGAGGTGTGGAGGATGAGATACGAATGCAGCATCAGGCCTAGGGGCTCTTATTCTTTCAATGCAGGGGCCCCTGGTGACTGCCCCCTCCAAATGCCCAGGGCCCAGAGTAAGCAGAGGCCTTGCACTATGTGGTTCGAAAGCACTGGATCTCACTCAGCTTCGCTTTCCTCATCTGCAAAATGGGCCTCACCAGCCCCCCAACCTCTCCTGGGTTTGTAAGAAGTGATGGGAGTGGAGGGTCACTGCCACCGTTAACCCTTCTCTGGCAGATGCCCTGGTAAAAGAATTCTTAAACGGCAGTCAGGCTTCTTTGCCCTCAAACATGGTCCACGTGACTCCCAGAGCTTGGACAGATCACGAGGCCTTCTGTGACTCAGTTTCTCCAGCCATGAAACAGAAGGGGAAAGGGCTGGACAACCAGACAAGAATGAAAACCCTCTCCTGGCTCTGACCTTCATAGGTCCCTGCCTGGGGAGCAGGTGGGGTTCCCAGAAAGCCCCTCCAACACTCGTGACTGAGTAGGGCAGAGGCTTCTGAAAAGGAACCAGGCCCCCGGCTCCTCCTACCCCAGCCAGGCTGTTCCCCCACTCCCAGCGCCTGTTTCCTCAGCTGTGATATGGGGAGTCATTGCTGACAGCCTCCAGTGCCTAAGCCACAGGGAGCCCAGGCCCCCTGCACAGAGCTGGCTTGGCCAGTCCCCACGGCTCCATCACAGACCCCCCTGCACACACTTCCAGGAGGATGGAAAACTGAGGGGCACTTGCAGTCCCAAGCCGCTTGGGCACACCCACCCCCCACCACACCCACAACCACCAGAGACAGGCGTGTGGCCAGGGCTGAGGAGGTTCCATAAAGCCTGTCAGTCCAAGGCCTGCCTCTCTCTGTCCCTTGTGCCTCCAAGCTTGCCAGCCCGTCTGTCCCCATGTCACCCCATGTCCACCCTGCCATCTACTGAAGCTTTGGTCTCCTTGACCCTCGGTACCGCCAAAATGGCCCCAGCAAAATCAAATACGTTCCCACAGTTCCCACCCATGTGTCTGCCAGGTCATGGTCCCTGCCCCGACACTCTGAAAGCTTGCATGAGCAAGGGCCCCCGCTGTGGCTGGGGACTGGGTGGGATGGGGTCAGGAAGTTCCTCTGCTCAGGCAGAATGGCCTCGCCCCCACAGGCCTGCTGGTGGAGCCTTGAAGGGCCACAACCGGGTTTCTTCTGCAAGACCTCGCAGACGAGCTTGAGCCCCCGACCACTTGGGTGATGAGCCCCTCACTGACAAGGTCTGGGCCGGGCCAGGCTGTGCCACCCACTCGGGCCCCTCCACTCCACAGCTGGCCTTGCCATGGCACGGCAGAGGCCCTCACCCCAAGCGTCCACTATAGGCCTCAAGACATCATTCACACCCTTGACCCTCCCTTGAGCCCAGCCCCAGTGTGCCAACTGCTCCTACCCGGGTGAGGTGTCCAGGCTGAGGGAGGCGAGGGCGCTGGAGAAGTGCCGGGTGTCCCAGAGCTTCACTTCCCGCTCCCGCATCTGCACGGAGGGGGCAAAGAGGGGCTCAGAAGGGCCCATCCCTCAGCCCCCTGGGCTCCCTGGGAAGCCAGCACCTCAGGACACAGCCTGGCACAAGGGTACTTGGCCCAGAGCAGCCCTTGGAGGGTGGGGGGGATGAGTCATGCCAGGCAGGGAGAGTTTGGGTTTTCATGTCCTTCCCCTTTAAGGACCCCTAGGTGACAAGGGACAAGGGGGCGGTTCTGTCCATGGACTCCTGGGAGTGGGGAGGAGGCTGCCACAGTTCCCAGGGTCAGGCTTAGCTATTGCGAATGGAATCTGCCAGTTTTCAGCAGCTGGAGGTCCCCTGGGGTTCCGAGACCCGGCCGCACACAAGGCCGTATATGGACAGGCCTAGAGCTGGCTGGACACCCCTCACCTCCCAGTTGGCCTCATCCCTACCCTCTAGGTGTGGGTGCCCTGCCCATCTGGAAGGGGCCCTACCTGGTTGAAGCCAGTAGACACAAGTTGCTCCTGGGTGCCCGTCCACGCCAGCCGACCATCCTTGCTGTTCCTGTGGGCCTCAGTGCTCTGGAGGAGACAAAAGATGGTGCTGCGCCGCTGGGGTCTCCTGGGGTGGGCCACCTGCCTGAGAGCCCCACAGAAGGCAGGAGGGGCCAGGGTGGTAAGCCCCAGTGGCTGGGGGACAGGGGAGGCCTAGCGTCACGACAGGATGGACCCCAGCCTCACCTTGGCTGAGGACAGCACCGCACCCAGAGGGCTGACCGGCACCACGCTTAGGCTCAGTGCCCCTCCTCCAAAGGGGACAGTAGGGACTGCCTGGCCACAGGGTCAGGACTCAGGGTAGCAGCACACCCTTGTCCTTCCAGGAATCCCAGAGGAGGCACTCAGCGGCCAGTCGTCATCCCCAAGTTCTGGGGATCCCCATGCTTTCGGAGACCCTCATTTCCTCATTTGTGAGTGGGGTTCATGTTCGCAGGGCTATCCAAGGACCGACTGACACTACATGCAAGAGGGACCGGCTGACTGCACATCACGGGAGTGTGAGCATCACAGCCACCTCCTGACTGCCAGCGCCTGGGGAGAGGGCCTGGTGCCAAGCTCTAGGGAATGGTTCTAGGAGAGGGCAGATAAGTGCCCCTCCTCGCTTTCCCCCAGTGCGGGAGCTGCCAGCAGGAAGGCTTCCTGAGCCCAGGGAGAAGAGGCGAGTTCATACCATAGGCGGCCTCGTCCCCAGGGCCCGGGGTGGGGGGGAGAGCCCAAGGAGCAGAGGGGGCCCAGAGGAAATGCAAACAGCTCCCTCCCAGTCACCTCGGCCCCTGGAGCCTGAGACCAAAGACCCTGTTACCAAAAATAGCTCACCCCAAACTGTGGCCAGCTTCCTCCAAGCTTCCCACGATCTCCTTGGGAATGAATGAGGGAGGGAGGTAGCCTGGGAGGAGCTGGCCCAGCGTCCCCTCCCCAGCCCGCGGAGGCGGACCCCAGCGTGGGAGACCCTGGAATGGCCCATGTTGTTCAAGGGGCTTTTCTCACTGCTCCCTTCGCCACTCGGCAGCCGGCACAGGAAGTCAGGGCTGCAGCCTGAGAACCAGGGCCCCACACCCCTCTCCACACACGAGGGGCTGTGGGGCCAGAGCTAGGTCAGCCATGCCCTGACACCCTAGAGGGTGTTACACAGGCCCTCCCTTTCACTGGCGTGCAAATATCCCAGGTGCACAGCAAACCAGACGGCCGGCAAAGCATCATGTGTCACTCATTCGTGCGCCAGACTTGCGAGGTCTCCCCAGGCCAAGCCCCATGCTAGGGACCGCGGTGGGGTGGTTCTCGGATGCTCCTCTGATGGAGAGTCACGTCGTTGGGTGACGCGGGGCTGCTCATTCATAATATGGATGTTCGAGCAGCGTACTCTGCTAGGCACTGGGAATATGTGAAAGTAGAAAGGGTCCCCCGCCTCGCTGACAACACAAGCTGGGAGATGGAGCTGAACCAAAGAGAAATCCCTATGTCCCTGCACGTTATTGTAAGTGCCGGGAAGTGAAGGTTAGGGGCCGCGGCTCTGGGTGAAAAGCTGCCTGGTGACGGACGGCCTCCTCCCAGCGTGACAGCTCTACGCCTCTGTGCCTGTTCCCTCAGCTGGAGAAGGAGCCGTGTAACAGGACCACCCTCAGAGAGCTGCTGTGGGAAGGGTTAACACTGGTGAACGCCCGGGGATTGTCTGGCACATACCCCATATGCATTTTCTTAAAAAGCGTGATAACGGAGTACAATAAAAGTATAATAGAGGGTAGGAAATTAAGGGGACATGTGAGCGAAGGCAGGATCAGCAGGCGTGAGCCAGGCAAGGGGGCCAGCACCTGTGATGAGTGGGGACCTGGGCGAGCAAAGAGGCTAGCGCCACTGCAGGGGGCAGGAGGCAAGGGAGAGGAAGTGCCCCAAAGCCTGCAGGGCGTGCGGGTTGCAATGGAGCATTTTTCATTCAGAAGCATGGGTCAGGGACGGAATCAACCTTGGCCTGTCTCCCATCTTCCTATTTTACACACGGAGAAACCAGAGGCTCAAGGAAAAGACACCTGCCTCAAGTCACCTAGTAAGACAGAGGTCAGCTCTCTGAGCCCCCTGCTCCCTGTGGGCTGGGTGATTGTTCCGTGTCTGTGTAACAGGGACCTGAGGTGACAACAGATGAGGAGACTGAGCAGCTGGTAGAAGCCAGCAGAGTTGGGACCAGGAGGGGCCCCGGGTCCCAGCTGCCTCCCAGCACACACCCCTGGATGAGCTCACACCAGGGGACCCAGGCTGCCCACAGGGTGGTGATGGGCAGGGCACTGGTCTCTGAGGACACTGAAGGCACCAAGGAAGCTGAGATGAGGCGGGAGCTCAGCCTGGGCCCACCATGCCCACTGTTGGCACACTTGGTTCAGTGTGCCCGGGAGCCACAGGAAGCCCCACGGAATGGGGCTGAGTTGGCCTGGGGCTGGGTTGGCCGCTGACCACCTTCTCCTTCCTCTGTCCCCAGATCATTAAAATGATTTGTATTTTAAAACTGACAAGTTCTTCTTCCCTGACCTCAGCGGGACTCAGGGAGGAGGAGCCATCTCTCCAGATGCCCAAATTCTCATTCTCCTGAGCAGAGGAGAGGTCTGGCTGGAACTCAGGCAGTCTGCCACCCCGAAGTCTCAGCTCTGTCACAGGAGGCTCTAGGGGAAACTGCTGGTGGTAATCCCCGAGGCCTGCAGGCCAGGCCTCGGGCTTTCCCCCTTCACAGGGGTGGCCTTTGTCCCAACAAGCAGCAGGGCACCCTGCCCAGGAAGAAGCCCCTCAGTCCCCTCCTGTCTCCCCCACACCTGGCCCCAAGGAGAGAACAGGAGGGGCTGACTGCCCAGCACAGGGGCGCCAGGAGCAGGCACATACCCAGCATTCCAGCTGCGGTACAGCCAAGTCCCCGCTCTATCGGCAAGGCAACGCTTGCTGTATGGGGCAGGGCAGCTGGAGGAGCAGCGCAGGGCCCCTTGGGACCTTCTCTGATATAAGACCCCCGCCACCCACTCATACCCCTCCTTGGCCAGGCTCAGGTCTACCAGCCCACGCCAGAGGTCAGAGGGCTGATCCCAGGGCCCTCCGGCCCCGAGGCCGGTGCTGAAGTCTCACGGCTCCCTGGACACCCCTTCAGCCACAGGCTGCTCCATCTCTGGCACACCCATGGCTTCAGGCCTTGGCCGCCCCCACCCAGGCTCCTGACAGTGAAGGGCTTGCAGCGTCCAACAGATGAACCCGTCTGGGCTGCCCTGCTGTGCCCCTAGGACAGAAATGACCAAAGGGCCAGCTTTATAGGACAATCGTGAGTGTGGAAAAAGATTGTGTGTGCCAAGGACTCGGGGTATAATAAATGGTCATAAATGCAATCTAGATATAAGGTGGGGGATGGGGGAACAGGAGGGAGTTGCTCAAGCATCTCCCAACCCAAGCTCAGGTCACCCAGGGCCCAAAAACGACAGCTGGGGGAGGACTCCCCAAGGTGCCCCACCCCCCAGCTTCCAGGCTGTAGTGACAGCCCCTAGTGCATCCTCCCTTGACACCCCTCAGCAGCACCCCCATCTCTAGTGGGTAAGGAGGATCTCAAAAGAAGGCACTCCCAGAAGGTCTCTCCCCTGAGCGGGCCCCTCAGCTCACACCGACCCTGGCCGCCAGCAGCGGTTTTCCTAATAGAAGCCAGGTGTGGGCCAGATGCCCTGGGCGGAAGTGGGGGGCAGGGCCACGAGGAGGGCAGCATTCCAGGCCCTGCTGCCCCCGCACCAGCACCAGCGGCAGAGCCCAGGCAGCATCCCAGCAGCTGGGAGGGGGTAGGAGCCACCCACGCTCTTCCCAGGTCTCCTTGGCCCAGAAGCCCCATTCAGGGGGGCTCCCTCCTGAACCAGATCCTCTCCCCCTTCTTCTAGAAACTTGGAGCCCTTTGGACGGCAGCCACTCGGTCTCCACCTCGGCACCATCACTGTCTACCCTACCACCACTTGCTGGAGGGGGCAGCAAGAAAGGAAGAAAATGTTCAGGCCAGGGGAGCTGGCCCCATACAATGCCCAGTTGGGGCAAGAATGGGGTACCATGCGTGGTGCCTCGGGGCCCTGAGAAAGCTGGAGGTGGAGGGCCTCAACCTCCCTCCTTCAACCTGGGATGCCCCCTTCCAAGCAGAGGCTTGGAGGTCAAACACGGAAAACTCCAGTGGGGCGCACTGCTCATACCCACACTGTCCTGGAACACAGACAGGCACCACCACCAGCCACAGGGCCAAGCTCCCCGGGAGGCAAGGCCACGGTGGGCTGGAATGGGGGCGGGGGGTGCTGAAACCACACCTGCCAGGCTTGGTCAATACAGGACCTCCTCTTGGTCTTCGGCTGGTCAGAAACAAAACCAACTAGGCTATCGTGGACAAAAAGCCGCTGTGGCCTATGCGACGGGGATCCTGTGTGTGCGTGTGCGCAGGCACATGCTAAAGGTATGGGGGCAAGGCCCTGCACCCCTCGCTACTGCTGATCAGGTTTAGGCTGGTGAATGACCCTTGACCCCAGGTAGGGAACAAGTCCTAGAGATGGAGACAGGGTGTCTGGGAAGGGCCTGGGTTTCACTGGGGAGCTCTTTCCCTGATCTTTACCTTCCTCAGGAAAGAAGCCTCCTCACCTTCAAGAAAAATTTTTCAAAACCATAAACCTGCTTATCTCACTTTCTGCTTAAAACTCTCTTAACGGCTTCCCATAGCCCCAGTGACAGGCCCTTCATCACATGCCTGGTACTGAGCTGATGTCGAATGAATGAATGATTCCCCAGTGGCTCAGTGGCTGTAGCATGAACCCAGAACCCATCACCCACTCAGCACTCAAAAGGCCCCAGGCATTCCCAAGCACTATCACCGACAGAAACCAAACATGCTCAGTGCCTGGGTCCCCCAGACCCCAAGTACAGAATGAAGGTCCATTGGCTGTGAGGCTAGAAGGGTACGGGGTGGGCGGCTGTGTCTTTCTGGTTCCTCCAAGGCTGGCCTCTGCCAACTGCGCCAGGATGAGCAGGGGGGCATTAGGGTCTCAAGGAAGGAGAGGAAGCTGGAGTCTCAGAATAGCTTCCTAAAGCCACAGGACGCCTCCACTAAGGCCTGTGTACAGCCAGGCTGCGCCCCTCCCTGTGATCCAAGCCAGGTCCTCCCAGGACTCAAAACATGCTTCCCAGAAAGAGCTTCGGGTAGCAGGAGCCCACCCCAGGTGACCCCTACACACCCATCAGGCCTGGGGTGTGACAGAATCTCTGCTAAGAGGCGGAGCCTGCCCCCACCTATACCTGCTGGAGCCACTAGGGCATCAGCCCAACCCCCAGCCCACACAACTCACCTGGGAGGCCCCTGGCTTTGTTCTGGGGTCAAAGATCCGCAGCTGCTTGTCCTGGAAAAGGAGAGAGGAGTAAAAAGAGAGTGTACTTGGGACAGGGAGGGTCCTTAGAGGCCAGCCTCTCTCCCCTACCCACAGGCTCTGATGGCCCCACCTCCTAGTACACAGGGCTGCTATCACGCACCAGGGGACCCCTCCCCAGCCTGGCTTCTACTTCTCACTGCAGGGGGCAGGCCCTCTTTCCTGCCCCAGTCACCCACACCAGAGAACTCAGACACAGGAGTTCACATTTGCTGAGCACCTACAATGCACCAGGCCTACTACACACATGATCTCTCCCCATCTTTCCAGCCACCTTATGAAGTGGTGCTATCACCATGACCCCGTCACAGATGGAGAAAATGAGGCCCAAAACCAAACTCTAGGCTACCAGCTGGTAAATGCCTGGCCCTGCGTTCAGCTCAGCCCGGAGGAGCACAAAAGATGAGGTCATTTCTACACCTAAAGAACTTGGTGACTAACCAGGATAGCAAGTTTACACATCCCAGCCGTCACTCGGCATACAGCTACTGACTCAGATTACCTAAGGCTGGAGACAGGAATAGATAAGACATATACATACGTATACATATGCACATACACATACAAATACGTATATACACACACCAAATGAAGTGCCCATACCTCGCAGAAGGACTCTATTCCCTTGTAGTGGGTGTGCCCGTGCAGAAATGTACACACATAAAGGACTGGGGGAGAAAGGGGGGCAGAATTTACATCCACTGACTACTTACAGGTTTGGCCATGACCAATCGTTAAGTGCTACAGGGACGGTGGAGAATAACGCGGATGGTGTGATTCTGCTGCGGCAAAAATAAACAAAGATCTCTATTTGACCACATTCCTGTAGCTTTTGCAAGTTTGCTGAGCAAGGAGAAAGGTCTTGAACAGCATGGGTTGTGTGTTAGTGCTGGGGACGGGGAAGGTGGGGGGTGATCAGCTCTTCTTCTTTTCATATTTGCACAGTTCCACTTTGCTGCATTCAGCGTGGACTCATATTTTCATATTTTGAAAAACAACGACCCAGCAAGGAACAATCAGAATTTGAAATGAAAAACACAGTACCACTTACACCAGCACGAAAAAATGCGAAACGCTTAGCTCTAAATCTAACAAAATACGTATGAGATCTATGGGAAGGATATTACAAACCTCTGATGAAAAGAATCAAAGAACTAAGTAAACAAGAGAGTCCATGTCCGTGAATAGGGATATAATCAATAATCAATAATAATCATGAATAGCGTCAAAACGTCCATTCTTCCCAAGTTGATCTACAGATTCAACGAAATCCCAGTGAAAACTCCACCAAGTTATTTTGTGGTTATGGACAAACAGATTCTAAAGTGTATACGGACAGGCAGAAAATGCATGGTCAACACAATCCTGAAGGAGAAGACCAAGTCGAAGGACAGACGGGGCCTGACTTTATTCTAAAGCTCTGCTAACCAAGACAGTGTGGTGCTGACGTAAGGACAAGAGATCGAAGGAAGAGAACAGACAGCCCAGAGCCAGAACTCCACAAATACAGTCAGCCTATATGTGACAAAGAAGTGAAGGCAATACGTTTGAGAAAGGACGATCTCTTCAACAAATGGTACTAGAAAAACTCCACGTCCACATCCAAAAGGATGAATCCACACAGAGACTTTACATCTTTTACAGAAGTCAACTCGAAAGGGATCACAGACCTACCTGTAAAATACAAACCTATAAAAGCTCTAGGAGATAATACAGGAGAAACTCTGGGTGACCCTGGATTTGGCAAGGACTATTTATTTACTTTTAATTCACTTTCTTTCCTTTTTCTTTTTTTAAAGCCTTTTTTTTTTTTGAGCGCGAGAGAGAGAGAGAGAGAGAGAGAGAAAGAAAGAGCGCGTGCAAGCTGGGGGAGGGGCAGAAAAGGACCAACATGAAGGTGGAATGAATCCCAGGCAGACTCTGCACTGAGCGGAGTAGAACCTGATATGGGACTCTGTCTTCCAACCCTGAGATCATGACCTGAACCAAAACCAAGTACTGGACACTTAACCAACGGAGCCACCCAGGTGTCCCTGGCAAGAACTTCTATTTTTTTTAATTTTTAATTTTTAAAAAGATTTTATTTATTTATTTGAGAAAGAGAGAGAGAATGAGAGAGAGCACGAAAGGGGAGGGTCAGAGGGAGAAGCAGACTCCCTGCTGAGCAGAGAGCCTGATGTGGGACTCAGGACTCCAGGATCATGACCTGAGCCGAAGGCAGTCACTTAACCAACTGAGCCACCCAGGTGCCTGGCAAGGACTTTACAGATACAACATTGAAAGTATGACCTGTGAAAGATAAAACTGGATTTCATTAAAATCATACCCTTCTGGTTTACAGAGACACTGTTAAAACAATGAAAAGACAAGCCACAGACTGGGAGAAAATACTTGCAGGCATGTATCTGAGAGAAGACTTGTATCCCAAATATACAAAGAACACTTAAAACTCAAAAAGAAGGGGCGCCTGGGTGGCTCAGTGGGTTAAAGCCTCTGCCTTCAGCTCAGGTCATGATCCCAGGGTCCTGGGATGGAGCCCTGCATGGGGCTATCTGCTCAGCGGGGAGCCTGCTTCCCCCCTTCTCTCTGCCTGCCTCTCTGCCTACTTGTGATCTCTCTCTGTCAAATAAATAAATAAAATCTTTAAAAAAAAAAGAAGTGGTTAAAAGACCTGAATGAACAGTCCACCAAAAAAGACACACAGCGTGAAAACTGAACACATGAAAAGATGTTTAATATCACATCTCATAGGGAATTATAAACTTAAACAACAGTGAATTACTATGCCACACCTATTAGAACGGCTAAAATTTTAAAAAAATGGTATCATCAGATGCTGGCAAGATTACGGAGAAACAGAAACTCTTATTTGCTGATTGGAATACAAATGGAACAGCAACTTTAGAAGGCAGCCTGGCAGCTTCTTACAAAGCCAGAAATACTCTTGGGCCTCCTGGGTGGCTCAGGCGGTTAAGCGTCTGCCTTCCGCTCAGCTCATGATCTCAGGGTCTTGGGATCCAGTCCTGCATGGAGCCCCACATTGAGCCCCACGTCGAGCCCTGCCTCAGACTCCACGCTCAGTGGGGAGTCTGCTTGCCCCTCTCCTTCTGCCTTTTCCCCGTGCTTGTATGAGCACACGTGTGCTCTCTCTCTCAAACAAAATATTAAAAAAGGAAATTATGCCTGTATAAATGTTTGTAACACTTTTAAAGTTGCAAAGAAGTAGAAGCCATCAGCACGTCCCTCAACAGCGGAAAAGATCAGCTGTGGTGCATTCACACAATGGAATACTGTGCAGTGATAAAGAGAAAGACTAAGAGGCCAAACCATAAAACTCCTAGAAGAAGGCCTAGGGGAAGAGCTTCACGACGTCAGATTTGGTAATGATTTCTTGCACAGGACACTAAAAGCACGGGAAACAAAAGCAAAAACAGACAAGCGGGACTACACCAAACTTAACTTTTGTTCCTCAAAGGATGCAATCAGCAGAGTTAAGAGTCATCCAAAGGGAATGGAGAAGATGTCGGCGGATCATGTCTCTGATAAGGGATTAGTATCCAGAACAAGCGAAGAATTTGTACAGCCACAAAAAGTTAAATAATTCTCTTTAAAAAACGGGCAAAGGACTTGAACAGATAATTCTCCAAAGGTAGACCAATGGCCAAGAAATATACAAAAAGATGTTCATCATCACTAATCATTGGAGGAATGCAAAGTAAAACCACGATGCGATGATCACCTCACACCCGTGAGGATGGCCCCTGTCAAAAACTCAGGAAACAATAAGCGTTGGCGAGGACCTGGAAAAGTGGGAACCCTCGTGGTGCAGCCGCTGTGGAAAACAGTGTGAGAGTTCCTCAAGAAAGTAAAAATAGAATTCCCTTATGACCCGGCAATTCCACTGTGAGTACCTCCCCTGGGGAAGTGAAAAGAGGGTCATGTTATCATTCACAGCACTCATGGCAGCGTTCTGCACAACAGCTGACAGGCGGGGGCCACCCGAGTGTCCTCTGACAGAGGAGTGGGTAAACACACATATGGGGGAATATTATACTGCCAGGAAAAAGAGTTCCTGTCCCATGCCACAACACAGACGAACCTGGAGGACATTATGGTAAATGACACAAGCCAGTCACAAAAAGACGAATAGTATATGGGTCCACCTATGAGAGGTGTCTAAGAGGGTCCACATCACAGATATGGAGGGGAGAATGGTGCTTACTGAAGGCGGGGGCAAGGGGGCCGGCAAAGGGAAGCTGTTGTTTAATGTGTGTGGGTATGGGGTTTCAGTTCGGGAGATCTGCTTCACAGCAATGTAAGTAAACTTCACCTAACTGTCTACTTAAAAAGGGTTAAGATGGTAAATTTTATGATGTGTTTTTTACCACCATAAAGAGCAAGCCGCCAGCCCACCAAAAGACAGGGTACGCCCATAAATGTACATTACTAAGTGAAAGATGCCAATCTGGAGAGGCTGTATGTTGTGTGATTCCAGCAATATGACATTAGGGAAAAGGCAAATCTCATGGAGATAGCAAAGAAGTCAGTGGTTGTCAGTGGTTCGGGAGACGGAGGGAGGGATAGGGGTGAAGCCCAGGGCACTTTTAGGGCAGAGCAGCTCTTCTGCACAATGGTGTCATGTGGGTGGCTGATGTCCTGCACTTGTGGAAACCTCTACGATGCCATACCAAGAGTGAAGCCTCTTATAAACTCCGACCTTTAGTTAATGTGGCAAAATTGGTTTAACCATAACAGACGCAGCATCCCAACCAACATGAGACCAGATGGGAGGACGGATATGGGAACTCTTGGTACTGTCTGCTTGGTTTCTGCCTTGTTCCAGCCCAGGTGCTGGGGAGGCAGGGCTGCAAACAGTCCATGCCCAGTACTGGACTCCGCAACCCACAAGCGGTCACGGGGAACTGCGGAAACTCAGACCTGAGACGAAACTCCACGGACAAGCAGAGCTTGCA